TGGTCAGCTAGTTATGGGAAATGTTCGTTCCTGGAGGGTGACTTCTTAATAAAGGTGTCCACTGATTGGAGATATCAAAGTAAGGATCATGGTACTGTATCTGGTTACTGAAGATTACCATTTACGGTGTAGGAGAGGCACATCCTTATTAGAGGTGTTTGCTTAATTGGGAGCTGTCTGATTAAAGGATACACCCAAAACATGAGACTTTCCAAAGGGAGCTCATTTAGTAATTTTCAGATATTTGCCCAGCATCCTTGGAAAGCAGATGAATTTATTAATTTTATTACTAGACATTAGGTTGTGAGGGAGTATACATGTAGCTGGTGTGTTTATCTCATTTAATAAGAATTGTAAAGTTTATCTGTAGGGGAGGATTAAGGAGGGTGCTAAGGAAATGCCCCCTTTTTTGTTGTATAATCCAAAAAAATTGACCAACTGTCTTTAGAAAAACATTTTTCATTGGATTGGGGGGAGGAGTGGCCTTTACCCCGCTGCAATTTCTTCAGCCCCCTCTGTCTGAATTTTCTGGATCAGCCCCTGACTTGAATGGAAAAACAATTATATTAAAATGAAGTTTTATCACTACAGTAACTACTGCTGCTGCTACTATCATCCATTAATGTGAAACATCTGCTTATGAGAGGTTTCTCCTCGTAGGAGGTGTCTGCAGCCTTTTAGATGTAGCCGCGTACTAGAGGAGTTGTATTTTTATGGGAGGTACTAGAGATGTCCACCCATGAAAGATAAATGGGAGTCGAAGATGTCCAGAGGATAAACATGAACAGCGCAGATCAGAAACAAATTGAACATAAGGAGTTCATTAAATCATTACCAAGGATTTGTGGTTGAAGAGTGATCATCTCTGTATCATACATCTTCATGACCTCTGTTTTCTTATCATAAACACCAAGGACGTACCTGGAACACATATTAACTTTGTTAATCTTATAACAGAATGACACTTACTTGAATTTAATCAGGTAAAGTAGCATTTGTTGGAGAATCATGTTAAAAAAGGTGGGAGGTATCACAACGGCAAACTGTCAAAGGGCTTCAATACTATTGTTCAGTATCAAAAAACAAGTTGAATGCTTTCTCTTTCGCTCGTCTTCTGACACCATGCTAACTACATCTTGTGGTTTAATGCCACTTGGTCCTAACATGTTATGTCCTTTCACTCAGTTTTTACATTCTTCCCCCCAGATTTTACAGCATAAAGCAGGCTGCTCGCAGTCTACTTCTTTACAAATAATTTACTGGAATGTTACTGGAAACAAACAGGTAACAAAATCAATATATGAACTTACTTGCACAAACCACTAGATCTGGAAAATTGTCCAAAGTTTTGACCAATATATTCCATTTCTTCTGTTTCTGCAATCTAAAAGATAACCAAATGCTCAATATCAGAGTAAAGCATTATTAAAATCAAGAGGTCCAAAAATTTGACTACATCAATCCCTCCAGCTTGTGTCTAATAATAAAATTAAAGGGGTGAGTGCAAAACCATGCTAAGTAACGTCCTTTTCCCGCTGAGGCCTTCAAATAAACAAAGCCGGGCCTTTGTTATGATAAACAGAGCCGATCCTTTGTTATAATAGCCTAGCCAAGCCAAGCCTTTGTTATAAGTCGAAGTCTCACCTCAGTTTACTATAACAAAGGATCGGCCCGCCGCGACCGCAAGGACTTTGATTTCACTTAGAAAGCAGCAAAATGTCAATTNTACCTAAACAAAACTGCATGCGAAATTTGGAGCTTTTTTGACAAAGCTCACTTTTGATTAAAATACCTAACGCCCTTTTCCCGCCGAGGCCTTCAAATAAACGAAGCCGGGCCTTTGTTACATGTATGATAAACAGAGCCGATCCTTTGTTCTAATAGCCAAGCCAAGCCAAGCCTTTGTTATAAGTCAAAGTCTCGCCTTGGTTTATCATAACAAAGGATCAGTCCGCCGCGACCGCAAGGACTTTGATTTCACTTAGAAAGCAGCAAAATGTCAATTTCACGCAACATATAAGCTCAATAATGTTGATTTTAGTTCAAAAAAGGTTTATATGTTGATTTCACGTTAACGCGTGATGGCAAGGATGTTGATTTCACTTAGAAACCAGCAAAATGTCAATTTCACGCAGCACATAAACTCAATGATGTTGATTTCAGGTCTAAATAGGTTACAATGTTGATTTCACGTTAACGAGTGATGGCAAGGTTGTTGGTTTCACTTAGAAACCAGCAAAATGTCAATTTCACGCAGCAGTGCATAAGCTCGATGATGTTGATTTCAGGTCTACAGTGCAGCTCAGATATATCCGAACCAAAATATACGCGCAATTCGCGTCAGCCCAATACGTGTATAGGCATATGGATATACGCACATACGCGTATGCATATACGCACATACGCGTATACAGTATATACGCATATGCCTGATTAGTATGTATGCGCTAACCTATTGTTTTTTCTTTTCTTGACAAGTCATTGTTGTTTTCAATGGCTTGACTGCACACAGAACTTTTCCTCGAAGAAAAAATAACTAAACGCGAGCGACGCGCCAGTGAAACTTTGATAAACAATTATTTGGCTGAAGAAAGAGCATTTTACCGTTTAAATGAACGATTTGTGTCAAATATAACCGGAGATATAATTTTTTCGGCAAGGTCTTCGGAACTCTTCAAACGATAACCATCTCGCAAGCGACTTGCCGACGCATGCTTGAACACAGAACTTTTCCTTGAAGAAAAAAATTACTACACGTGGCTACAGAAACTTTGATAAACTAATATTTAGCTAAAGAAAGAGCATTTTACCATTATAATGAACGATTTGTGTCAAATAAAACCGGAGATGTCATTTTTTCAACGAAGATCTTCAGAACGGTTCAGANGGTTAAAATGTTGATTTCACGTTAACACGTGACAGCAAGGATGTTTTGATTCTTTAAAACGTGCTGATGACTTACGGGTTTATCGAGACTTTATGATGCCTCTCAACCACCAGGCAGGTATGTGCTTAAGATATTAGTTGACAGAGCTCTAATGCGGCACATCTCTTTTTTGTTTGATGTATTTCGTTTCATACTCGATCAATTCACATGTTGTGTTGACATCACAATAACCGATGCAAACAATCTGTTCCCAGATTTCCGCTCTATATATGCTGTGAGATTTGATTTTGACCTCATACACTATAAACAGTCTGCCTGTTTGNCTGTTCAACAAATAAACTCCTAAACACATGGCTAGGAAAAGCCAAGTATTTTTGCATACGTTATAACTCGAAAACGAAGCAAAAACCAGCAACAAAAATACAGGGCCGCATTTTTCTATTACATTGAAGACCACATGCAAAAATTCAAGCCCTTTTGTGAAATTTTTTCTTTCACCCAAATCGTCACTTAGCATGGTTTTGCACTCACCCCTTCAATTAAAATAAGCAACATACTACAAAATTTATAATGTAATATTTTCAAAAGCTTACCACAGTTCGTCTTTGCTTCTTCCTTTGATCTGCCTTGTCTGCCCACTGGTAACAACCAAATCGTATTTTTTTATCACCTATGTTTTGTTTCAAGGCAGCATTGGTGAAATGGACTGCAGAATGGACAGCAGCAATGTTATTGGTTGAATTGCAAAATATAGTTCTAAGACCCTGGCCAGTAATGGTGCTTTGAATTTAGGTACTAGTCTTTTAAAGCAAAGAAATAAAGTTAAGACTATGATTACGAAGAAATGTTGCCACAAGCATGGGACAAAGAAAAATCCGAGTCCCTGACAGGATTCGAACCCATGACCAAAATTCCCTGATCTGCATATTTATCAGGTTTCTTTTACTAGACACAATCATGATGCTCTGGACATTGCTGATCCTAGCAGTTAGTAGGATGCACGTCAAATATGAACCTAGTAATGGCCTGGTTCACCAAGAGTCTCTCTGTAGCTCAGTGGTTACAGAGCCCACCCGTAGCATTGTCTGACAGACAGAGGGCCAGAACTGGACTAGAAGGTCATGGGTGTGAATCCCTGGGAGAAACTGTCATATAAAATGACAGGGGTGCTCGTCCTACCTTTAAGGGGTTAAAAATGCCATTTTGGTACCTCTTAGATTGTTTAGCCTCAAAAGGTGCACAATGGCAGCTTTTGTGGTACCTTTTAGGGTACTGAGCCGAAAAAGCTTTATCAGGCGATTATGTGTTGTGTGAGAATTGGTACCTCTTAGGGTAGAAAAAAATTGCGAGCCACCCCCACAAAACCGGATCTTGGTACCTCTTAGGGGGTCTTTTCAAAATTTCCAATGAGCACCCCATCTTTTTTGTATGAGAGTCAAATACAACACAAAAGAAGGATCAAGCAGGAAAAAGTGCTGATGCAGAAAGTAAGAAAAAGATAGAGACTGCAGAGGAAATATATTTTCTCCCAACAAAGTAAACACATGGTAGCTCTTAAAGTTAAATGGGGTAACAACAAAAACATTATTGTTGTTATCCCAATATATATAGATAGATAGATAGATAGATAGATAGATAGATAGATAGATAGATAGATAGATAGATAGATAGATAGATAGATAGATAGATAGATAGATAGATAGATATGTATATGTATATATATTTTCTCCCAACAAAGTAAACACATGGTAGCTCTTAAAGTTAAACGGGATAACAACAACAACATTATTGTTGTTATCCCAATATATTAAGAGTAGCACAAAAAGTATACACTGCTTTTCACAGAGCTGGTCAAAATTAACAGAAATGTTAAGTTTAAGCACACCTAGAGGCATATTTAGGAAATAACAAGTAGAATTCACCCAAGAAAGAACTTTGTTGTGGTGACACTGCTATGTTTGTGGTTGCGCTTGCTTGGCGCGGTTAAAACTAAACGAAAGTAAGTCGACATTTTTTTCTGCAGTCACTAAATGTTATAAAAGAACAATTTTCCGAAAGACTAACCGACAAAAGGTTTCACACTAGAAGAAGGCTCCATGTGTTCATATTGTAGCTTTGCAGTCGCCATCTTGACTCTTTTTTCCACTGGCTACTTCGTGTAAGTGACTTGATTGATCCTTTTTATTTTCTTAGCCAATCAGATTTTGTTTTTCCCCACATTGTTCGCGGGCAACTTTCAAGCCGCGCAATCTGTCAAATTCTGTTTACTGTGGTCCGTATGTTTATGTTCCGGTTGAAATTGGTAATGCACAGGTTTTCCCTTAAATCGGAGATGAATTATTAACCATCTGGATACATTTACCTTAGCTTACATCGGGTTTTCGTAAATATTGTAAACGGACACGAAAAATGGCAAGATTCAACGAAACATGTCTATAGAGAGAACCGGCAAGTCAATCGACGAGGATTTCCAAGAACTGAAATATCGACTCGAGGTGATTTTAGCCATTTTGAATCCGTTTCATGTGCATTTATTGCTGCTTTTTTAGTATTACGCATTTAGGACGTCTTAGGACGGGCCTAAATTGGAAAAGCGTTCAAGTTATTGGAAGGTTTCACAAGCTTATGGGTCCTATCTTGTCAAATTTTTGTCGGATTTCTCTTTATAACCTAGAAACGGCTTTGTACGTGTGCTGTCTTCTGTTTTAACTACCTGTATGGTTTTAGCTAACATGAACTTTTTACGTTCCATTTTAGCCACTATTCGATGCAGAACCCTTAAAGGTACGTATCTTAGATATTGTATCTGCAATTAAATTAATAAAAAAAATTACAGATTTCAACTCACTTTTGCACCATGCGAAATGTCGTGGCGCCTTCAGATTATTAAGCAAATGTACTTTCTTGTTGTCATTGAAGTTCATTTGCATGTGAAAAGGTCTGAAAAGCCTACATATTTTACAGTATTAACTTGACTACAATACATGTCAGAATGATTTATTTTATGATGTATAAAAGCCTGCAGGTGAGGTCGTTGCTGCAAAAGTAACCTTACCACTTGTTTTAAATTTGAAATTTTGTTCTTTGAAAATTACTTTTAAAAAAACCAGGTTTTATAACATACAGATTATAAATGTCAAAGACATTTTTTACATAATTTTGATGTGATTGCTTCATAATAGTAAAGTGGCTTTGAAATGGTTAAAATGTTCTTGACATTTTCAAGGCAATGGTTATGATTAAGTGTTAAAAAAATTCCATAATTTTGTGATTTTTTAGGAAAAAAATTTGTGAGATATAATTTAGATGAAAGCAAGAAGCCTCAAAGGTGCATGGTTTCTAAACTCAGGTTAAACGCTATTGACATGTTAATTAAGTCACTATTCAATGATAAATGACAACAAAACTAACAACACTAGCAGTGGCACGTGTGCAGTTTTTGGTGCATTTTGGTGTCACAGAAAATGTTCACACCCAAGGCCCTGCAGTGGGGTACTCCCTTGTATGGGCTATATTAGTATGTGCGGTCTTACAAGCGAATTGGTTTATAAGCGGTTTTGGTCTGAAAAATATATAGAGTTAGACCATTTTGGTCTGAAATAGGGTATATTTTTCACTCTGGCTTGGTATTGGATATTTTGTTTACAAGGAGCTATTTTTTCCACATTAGCATTGGCATTTGTAGCCCTTCTCAAAATATATTAATGCAAATGGAAGCCATTTCTGGTTAGGCGCAGTCATATATTAGAGCCATGTACTAATATTAGAGATCTGAAATTGGGTATCAAATTTTCACTTTATAATAGTAATTGGAATGAGTGGAGTACAATTCAGGGAGTAATCACGCGAGTAATTTCAAAATTGGACGAACGCAAAGGCGAGGCCAATTTGAAATTATGAGCACTATTACTTTCCTGAATTACTAGTAAATCATATCTATGACAAATTTGGGAATTAAAATTTGTATTATGGGAACTTCTTTTGGGTGAAAACGTCTGTAGCGCTTTTCATTACAGTTTTGAAAACTGTACGAAACAATGCGAAGGAAGCCATTAAAACGTGTGTAATTGATGTGTGAATCACATGGGTATCCAATTACAGGTATCTAATTACAAAAAGTTCAAATTGGATACCTGTAATTGGACAACCACATGATCGCGCGCCAATTACATGACAAATAGGCGCACAGGAAAACCAGTCACGATTGAGAATTTTGTTATAGATATGACTAGGTCTGAAACTAAGGTATAGAAAATCACAGATTTTGGTCTGAGATAGGGTACAGGTAAGGTTTGAAACCCATCCCCCACCCCTCTAAAAACCTAAGAATTGGTTCATGATTTTTGTGCATCAGTTCTATAGAGTTATATATGCATGAGAAAGTTCAAAGAACACAGTATGCTGTAATTCTTCTTTTAATTCAGGCTCAAACTGATTCTTGCTTGAGACGATTCCTGCGTGCCTTTGAAGATGTTGATGAGGCATATGCTGCCTTAATTAAGTACATAAACTGGAGAGAGGAGTATGGTGTGAACTGTTTGAGCCGAGGAGATGATGATATAGAAGAACAGATAGCTTTGGACAAAGCTGAAGTCCTGGACTTCCCTGACCACAAAGGAAGGTCAGTTTGTCATCCTTTTCATAGCCACCCCAACCACGGTACAAACCACTTGCTTTGCTTAGCCTGACAGTAGTTCTTTTCATCTTTAGGCCTATTGTTATTGTGACTGTGAGGAATCATGATGCAAGAAGCAGAGACCTAAATGTCATCACTAAGTTTATAATTTACATCTTGGTGAGTCTGTTGTGTGAACTTCCAGTGTAACTATAATCCAAGAAAAAGTGGCACTTATACTATCTTGTCAACTGTCAAGCCTACAGGCTTGAAACTCAAGTTTGCAGGTCAAAAATTTTGATTTCTTGCCCATTCATGCCTACAGACCAATTTCTCATGCCTAGCTAGAAAAATTTGAGCTGTGTCTCTTTCAATTTTGTTTTAATTACCAGGACATAATGTTTTACTATACTGCTTTGTCTGTAGGAGGAAGCAACCAGAAAATGTGATGAAGACGTGATTGATAATCTCTGCATCACTTTTGATTTGAAGGTAGGTGAATTACATGAGACTAAAGAACCCTAATTCTCAGTCACCTTCTGAGTCAGTGTATCCAAATAATCTTGAAGAAAGAAAACAAAAAAGTAGAGGTTTAAACTTAAGGTATTAAAGGTTCAGGCTGCCACTAAACACAATCAGCACTGTGGAACCACTGCCATCTAATTTAGATACATTCCCTACTTCAGAAGTTATTGAAAGAACTTCCCAAGATTGCAATAAGGGTATTAAAAAATTTATATCGTTAATCTACTCCTGTTTGGTTCACAGGGTTTTTCATTTAGTAATATGGACTATGGCTTTGTGAAACAGCTTATCTGGCTTCTGTCCAGACGGTACCCAGAGAGACTTGGAAAGTGCTTGATTGTTAATGCACCATTCATTTTCACAGGCTGTTGGGCTCTTATCAGATTATGGTTGGTTTCAATCTTGCATCAAATATATATTGTATAACTTAATTTATGATATAATAACAAAATTTGTAATATACATTAAACTTTGCAGATCTCAAATGCTATGAAAATCTAAAAACTTTAAACTCTAGGCAAGATATCGCTTAGTTGAGAAAATTTTATTTGTTTATCATTTTAAAACTTGCTTAAGGTGGCTTACTATAGTTTTGATGGATTATGACAACCCAACTTCTAACTCTTTCCAAAAATGTTCCAAGACGATTTTCCTTTCTCTATTTACTGTTTGCTGAAGTCTTTTACCATTCTATATGAAACTTGAACAATTCGACATCAACAAATGGCCAAAATAAATGACCAAATACCCATGAAGAGACTGGGCACTAGTATGTTATATCACGTTTTTCTCAAAATCTACCCATATGACCCCACCTCAAAATTTCAGGAATAAGAAATTGGCTCTGATTTAACTTTCATGCAAAGTGAAATAAAAATCTGTAACACAGATTTTCCGCAAACCAAGAAAATGTGAGATCAAAAATAGCTCAAAATCTGTCTGATTGTTTTTTTTAATTTTGGCTCTAAACGCAATTCACCCCCACAAGTCAAATGTGAAAATTTTATTATGGGTTGTACAGTAGGTTTTCGAGCAATCCTCGATCAAGACTAGCTTTTACAACCTTGGACGAGAATTGAATTGCGCATGCTCTTTATTTAAGCGCGTGCTCATGTGACGCCACATATTGCATGCGAGAAAGCAAGAGTAAAGTAGAGCTCTTTTACCGGTTATTTATAGAGCTTTTTTGTCATGTTTTTTTGGCCCTAGGCCTAAACACATGTTTGTACAGAGTTTGAAACCGATGTGGTTTAACGCCTTTCAAGTGCTGAAGTAGTTTTCGTTTCTTCTTTGAGTTACTTGCGTCATTTCTGCATGCGCAATTAATACTGACGTCTGGCAGGCAATGCTAAAGCGCTACTGAGTCTCAGAAAAACTGTAGTAAGCCACCTTAAGTTGTGCATGACAAAATTATCCAGTACTTACAGAAACTTCAAGGACAAAAAAGTTAGATGACGTAAATTTATCAATAAATGTAAAACTGTTATTTGTCCAAACCACAACCTCCAGGACAGTTTTATTTGATTAATATTCATTGTCTGTACATCTCTAATCATTCCCTGTTGTCTGTAAAGCACCTTACAGTACAACAATATTTCCAACCATTTGAATGCACAGGACATGAAAAACTAAATACTGCTATTCCTGTTCTGGATCTTCCTCAGGACTGACACTCAAGTTGCAGTAAAGATGATATGAAATGCAAGGCTAGCATTACAGAAAATATTATAGACCAAATTTTTAAAAACGTTTTCTGCTTTCTACTCTTATAGGTTACATGAGGTGACATCAAACAAGATTGTGTTTATCAAGAATGAAGAGCACCTAGCTGAATACATACCTCTAGACATTTTGCCAAAAGCTCTCTTTTAAACAGTTATTCTTATCGTCATAGCCTTTTCTTTTTCTTTTCCAGTGCCTTTTTAATTTTTTTAAGAGCATTGTTCTGGTTAGATTAGAATGATCTTTGAAATTTAACCCTTTGGGTGCTTAAAAGCATATCATATATGCTTTAAAATGGTATGATAAAATGTGAAAGCAATTTGGAAATAAGGCGAGAATAGTAACTTTTTCAATGGTTTTTAGTTGATTTCACTTTGATTTATGATTCAGTATAATTATAAATGCACAATAATTTTAATTATTCTATTAATTTTATCAATATAAGCACAAGCTTTATTCATTTACTGTCCAGAAAATAGAATTCTATGAGGCAATAGCCAACTATTTAAAGAATTAATTCATATTTATATTAATTTATTTGAATTTGAAGGAAATTGACGGGTCAGTTTGTATAAAAGATTAAAGAATTTTTCTTGAGATAAAAATTGTTTACCTTGTAGAAAATAGTGTTGCACCAGAATACAAAGCACTGTGATGAGTGTCACAACACAACCAAATGTAGCAATATTATTTATTTTCTTTTTAACTGTTAATTCTTCTAACTATATATTAATGTGTCTTTGTTTGACATAAGGTTATATATGAAGGATTGGCAAAATTATTTGTTTCTTCTAAGAAGAACATAAGGTTGTCAAATTAAGTAATTTAGGTGTTTGTCAGGTATGTTTGGTGAATTTGACTTCTTTAAAAAGAAGTTTTATTTGATGTTTGGTTTGTTTCTTTTATAATTTTAAAAGTGCTGACAATTTTTTTGTTTATGTTAACTTCCATTTGATTCTACGAGCCAGCCACCAACTTATTAACAATTTTTCATCATAATTTGTGGGAAACAAAATGATACAAATTCAATAAACTATTTTGTAAGTTGCCATTATTTTTCTCCAGTAGTCAAATAGCAAATGGGATACATTTTATAGCTTTGTGTTGAATGTGGATTGACAGAAATTAAAAAGTAGTTTTTACGGAAAAATTGATACATGTAAAAATTCTTGAAGATGGGATCATTAGTTTATTATACAAAAAGAAATTTGTATAGGTAATCATACAGTTTCAAGTTCAATTTGGAATTAATTTGCACAAGTGAGTTTTTCAAATAGCTGAAATTGCACGAGCCGCTTCGAAAAACTCGCAAGTGCAAATTAATTGCAAATTGATCGAGAACAACTGTATGATTACTTATTAATAATATAAACATGAAAATATTCGTGTGGAGGAAGTGCCAGAAGATCTTTCTTGAAGCCATTTTTTCTCATTCAAGAAACCTTTTTTCAAAGTTTACACAAAATTTTTGCCATCATTTCATGTGATATCATCGGCTTAGAGAATTTCCTGTTGTCTTTTAGCCAATCATAATCCAGAATTACAATGTGTAATTTGCACTGGTGTTACACTTTTTGAATGGTGTTACACTTAAATTGCACTGCTCTCAGCCAATCAGAATCAAGTAATTTTTTCATGTATATTATTTGAACAGAAGCGTATCACCTATTCTAGGTGATATGCTTCTGATTTGAAATAAAATTGACTGTTTACCCTGCGCGAGGCACAGTGGCCAAATGGTTAGTTCACTGGACTAACACAGTCCAAGTTTGCACACTGGTGGGGTCATCGTGTCGTGTAATAGTGCCCTTCTCCACCCATGGCCCAGTTGTTCAAAGCGTGGATAAATTATTGCTATCCCTATGCAGTGGAGAAGTGTTGACGAAATAAACTACACTATCAACTAGGAAATGTGTTATCCAGTGGATTGTGTTATCCACCCTTAAAACAACTGGAGCCAGGTGTATAAATGAATACTGTTTATGGGAATGTCCACCTAATGGAAGGTCTCCAGTTACATTTGGCGTACTTATGAGTTCCAGACATATCCACAACAAGAGGATCCCCAGGGTCGTAGCCAGAAAAAAAATTATGGCTGGGGCAATGTCCATGGTCAAATTCTCTTCCTAAGTATTCAGCATTATTTTACCTACCTGCTCCCAAAAAATATTAACTGAAGCAAGTGCCTCGATTTCCTTCCTGCTGGCTACAGCCCTGATCTCCACTTGTGGGGCACCTTATACATATACAACTTTAGGTTATGAGTGTTCACTTACATTGGAGAGCAGGTGTGACACAGTCGCCTCCCACCAATGTAGCCAGATTAAATTCCCGACCCTGCATTGCATGTGGGCCAAGTTTCTTGTTGGTTGGAGCATTTTTGTACAGTTCCTCCACAAAAACCAACACTTTCCCAATTCACTCAATTTACTTCAATTTGATTCAGAAACAATGGAGGAATAGCCAAAGTAAAAACAACACAAGAATGAAGTGCTCTGATTTCAAGTTTATTGCCACCATTCCAAGAACTAGGAGGAAGTACTACACTAGCTAATACCTTAAAACAAGGTTTCAATATCATAGCAATAAATTCCAAAATGAAGTTATGGTAGTCACAAAATATAAGATTTTCAAGTGTTCAAATGCTTCAATAATTTACTGATGTCACTATTTTTCACCCCTTAAATTGTACCCTCACTGTAACTACATGAATGAAGAAGAAAAAATTGTCAGTTACGTATTTAGCTTGAAGTAGTTACCTTCCATTGCCCAATGCAAGTTTTCTCTTTCATTTGACAATGAAAAGTGCATAATTTTGCTAATTTTTTACCAGCTCTCAATGAGGATGCCGTTGTAATTCATGGCATACATGATAATTCATTTCAAATTAAAAATTAGATTATGAGCTCAGGATTTCTATCACCTGATGATGGACTGGAGCGCAACCAGAAACAACTCTCCTGCACAGAAATTACAAGCAAATAATCTTATTGTTTTAATTAGCATAAATTTACTGGTTGTTCAACAGTTGTAAATGTGGACAAGTTAAACTGCGATCAGAAGGACTTCAAGCCAATCTACTCAGTTTTTGTTTGATACAATTAATTATTATTAATTAATATTAGTTGACAAAAATATTGTGGCATTTGTGGTATTTACTGGTTGCTACGGTAGTAATTCTCATACACCCATTACTAACTTATAACTTAACATATATCATAATTTGCTGATAGAATCCAGTATGTACTGTATTATATTTACATGTCATAATGTGATGGTATTATTGTAGAATTTGCAAGAAGAATCTTTGAACAATGTCTGCTAATTATACGTCTGTATGACTAGAACATCAAGGGGTTTCAATAAGAGCTGGCAACTAAGCAAATTGACTGGCTGTGAAGACAATTTTGTCTACATGGTTTGACCATGTGGAGGAATGTTTTTCTTACAAAGGAGTTCAGTTTAAATAGTTTTGCCTGAATGTGAAAACCAGTTGCCTTCCTACAGAAAATCTTAAAAAAAACCCTGAAGTGCTCTTCAGATCTGAAGAGACACCTTTGAGTCTAATGGACCTGTTTACCCATGTTACACTTTTCCAATTTTTCCATTGCAACAAAAATTAAGTCCAACCAGTTGCTTTATCATGCCAAATTTAGTAAAATGTGAAGTTTCATAACCATCTGTTGCAAACTTAAGGAAATGTGGGACCCCAAACTTGCCACTTTATACAAAGAAATGTACACCAGAGGGAAAAAGCGTGAGTTTTTTTTTTCCTTCATATGAAAAATACGAAAAATTGTTGATATTGTGTAACATCTGTAAAAAGATCCATTTAATAGTGTGATAGACATTTTCTTCACAGGACATGCTTTGAATGAGCTGCGTAATATTGGAACTAGCAGAGAGCCAATATCCATGATGATTATCCTCATTATGATACTCTAACTTTTATTTTCAAGTCAATTACCCTCCTCCGCAAAAAAAGACAATACAATGGGCACCACTATGAGTATTGCATTATTATTAATATTAATAAGAATTTATAATTGAATCATTTTCTTTTGACTCATTCATGATTGTATCTTAAATAAATGCTAGCACTGTCCAATATATATTTTGGTATAATTTATGAAGCTCAAAGTGGCATAAGTAATAGGAGATTCAACAGTGATTTGATTCTGGAAAATAGCACTCTTGACTACAAGCCATTAACTTGAGGATGGTGATGACAAGGAACTGTTAAAGCCGAGTTTCCAACACTCTAGTTAGTTTGACTTGGATTCCCTTGAAAATTTTACTAGAACCTTTTTTTTTCTATATTTCCATTCTTATTCTAGTTTCAATTGCCATAAATCTTCAGAACTTTCCTTCAAATTATAATAATAATAATTATTGTAGTTTGTAGACAACAGTGTTTCTTTAAGAATATGTAAGATCTATTGATATGCCTGTATTTGAAACAAATTTATCTTACATAACAGTACTTACATGTAATTTGTTAAAAGGAGCGTCTATTGTGAGTAATTCAAATAAATTTCAAGGTAATTTCCACATATCAAAATAAAATCTGTTTTAATAATAAATTATAATAAAATTCACTTTTTTGAAAATGAAAATAAGGGGCCTTCTTTACAAAGAACATACAACGTCAAATTTACACAACATTGAGTGCTAAATTAGAGGAACAGACAATTCTGCATCTAGTCACCCTGAATACTAGAAGCATTTAACTATGTTAAGTCACACCAAACCAAACTATGACACAAAAATTAACTACACATAGGTTAACCTTTACATTAAGTAAATAAATTAAAACTTTGTACAACAGGAAAATTTGTTTCAATTTACCATGTGGTATAATAATGTTAATAAATCATTATTCACCTGTTCCATAAAGTGTCAACTTCCATTTGGTCACCTTGCCTGCATAATCACCAGCAGCAGCAGAATCTTCATTGCTTTCTAATAACCCATCCAGATCACTCTCATCATTTGCAACTGGGAAAATTTGATCACGCATGTAGTCTCCTCCAAACCGGCCATGATGAATTTCATCATGATAATCGTCGTAATCATCTGTGATTTCATCTCGGCGGGCCTTCAGTAGATCATGCTGTATGAGGACGCGTTCTCGCTCTTCGATGTCTGGCTTCTTGGGCTCCTCTGTCGCAAGCTTGTTGTGATGAAAGAGAAGTTTCCATTTTCCCTCTGGTGACTCACTCCATAAGTGCACTGTCATGAAGTCCCAGTCAGTCAGTCCAAATGTGTCTTTGTCGCTATGGCGGGTTGACAGCAACTGACTACTTGTTCCTCCTGGTGAGACAATATCTATGCTAATGTCTCCACGGAATGCCTTGGCTAATCTGAAGCTGACGGTCACTTGCACATGTTCAAGCTTCTTGACGTACCTCTCTGTCCCCTTACAAGCATCAGTGTCAACACTTAACTCCAGAGTACCACCAAGAGGAATGTGTCCATCTTCAACAGGGCCATCCACTGAACAGTTATGCTGTTCACCAACTGATGTCCAGTTCAGTGCGGCTGTCACCAGCTTACTAGCACTCAGGCGACCAAAGCCAAACTTGTGATTAAACAGCAACCCAGCAGCATTAGTGATCCAGCCATCATCTTGTGGACTCGTCTTCACTGCTTCATGAACAACCAGGTGCTGCAGATCACGCCAGGTAAGATCTTTGTTGGCTTCCAGAACCAAGGCAAAGATGCCGGACGCCAATGGAGCTGCCGAAGATGTGCCGCGGAACCTTGTCGTACATTTATGCTTGAGATCAGTAGTGACCAAGTCAGCTTCACTGGAACCTCCACGATGAGTGTCCCCTGTGTATGTCACAGCCATGGTAGAAGAACACTGCTCATCATAATATGTAGAAAGACCATAACGACTGACTGCTCCTATTGAAATTGTGTAAATACTTGAAGTGTAACCATCACAGTTGCAGTCATCATCAGCTAGACCTCCGTTTCCAGTTGCCCACACGTATATTGAACCTTTTCCTATAGAGTAAAGAAACAAATTAAAAAGGAAACTATACAGCTAGTTTCAAGTTCTTGATTATTTTATCCTTCTCTTTCTGATGTATTCCTCAATGAACTTGTTTTATTTCTACAGTTTGAAAGGAATCTTGTACATCAAAAACATTTCTTGAAATATTGAAATGGTGGCGTGGCTCCTTTCAAAAAATTGGACACGTCTTTCTATATAATCCTGAAGAACATTGCTTGTCATTTCCAACCAATATTTTGCTGAAAGATTTGAATTCCTGACAGCACCACTGACAAAATTCTCACTCGTGATTGGTTCTCCGGGTGTTTATTTGTCAAGGAATTGGTGTGCGATAACATGGGTGTCCAATTTCAGGTTTCCAATTTTAACTTTTTGCAACTGGTTACCTTCAATTGAATACCTATACTATTTGCCCATCAATTATTATTATGTAAACTTTAATGCCTTCCCTCTTAATCTTCCCTACAGTTGTTACAACTTATAAAAACCTCTATTGAAGTTCTCAATAATCTCAACTTGACAATCAGTCTATTGGTGGAAGTGAAACAAACTGCATGTAAAACTATTACATTCTATCATTTTTATGATGAGTCAAACAAGTAACAAAAAATGTTGCTCAAATAGCAGGGAGGGGTTTGCAACCCCCTCAACCCCTCCCTTGGAACTGCCTCTGCTGGGGCTGATCACCCTTCCCATGTTTTGAGAACTCAAGGTAAGAAAAATAACTTGTTGATATTTGACATCAGCTAGTAGTTAAGTGACTGCAAGGGCAAAGAAGAGCTCATAAGCATTAATTTTCCTCCTGTGTGGCACTCGCAATACGATATTGCCTATGGCACGTCTTTTAAGTCAGCTTGAAAGTAATGTAGCCATTTCCCAACATTTACCCACATTTCTTAGTACGAAAATTTGATTGCATGTGAGTATACTGTAAATACAACTTCTCTCATTCAGGAATTTTCGTCTTCCTTTGTTAAAAGGAAAAGAATCACCAAAGGAAGTGATCTACAAAAAGAATAAACTGGACACTAGGCATGCCAAATCATCACACCAGCCACTAGCAACATTTTTAGCTACATGGTATGCATATCTTTCCAGTTTTATTCTCAGCCTGCATGCTTGAGTCGTGACATGGCATGTGCATAATATCATTGGCATGACTGAAAGTATCATGTGCCTAAGGATGCAGACGGACAGTAAATATAAATGTTAATCTCCTTAAAAAGAACTAATATTTGTTTTGCTTTGTTTTAATGTTTCAGGAACGATCGAAAAATTAGTTGACAGAAGTTTTCACTTTGTTCAACTTAGTGGGAAGATTGGAGAAAACCGAGTTAGAGACAGTAGCAGGGTCAACTGTATCAGCACTGAGTTGGAAGGAAGGAGTATTCTGAAATTGAGGTGACAATTGTACAACAACCATTCAAAGATTTTAATCATGCAAAATTCTTGGTGAAAGCAAAGCAACACAAGTGCAAATTGACACATTTGCCTCTGGGGCAAATGAAATTGTAATACAAGCATATAGTCTCTTAACTGAATAGTAATGCAAAACAGTAGGTATAAAATTAACTTACAATTCATGCTTGAGTGCTTCTGCAGAAATGTGAATAAACTGTTTAGAAATTTGCATTTTTAATGTGTTAAATGTGTTCCAATGATAATTTATAGAAGAGAATAAATTGCATTGTTTTTGCCTACATTTGCCCCTACTGTGAAACTCTTATTTTGGTTTGATGGGCAAATCTACAGTATCACTCAGATCTAAGCGAACCAAACTTCGCTTTAACACCGTTTTGACAACGCGAAGGAATTAACGTGTGCACGTTTTGTACTTGCGTTTAGTATAGCAAATTTGGGTGAAAGTTGTACATATTGGCTTCATTTCAAAACTGTTTCAAAACTTCTTCTTCACAGGTTGTTTTTCACAGGTTTCAACCCTATGAAAAATGTTCTGTAAATATCACATGTACAGGTTTTGAAATTTTAGACCCTACGGGTAACAGTGCTAGTGCAGCTGTAAATAAGCTCAAAAACAAAGTTATCTTTTGCAGGTCTTTTCACAGATTGCCACCCTGTTAAAAGTGTCCTGTTCACAGGTTTTGAGATTTTAGACCCTGTTATAATATTGACAGGACCCTGTGCGTGCTCTGATTGGTCAAAAATCCATGTTTATCAGAGTATAAAACATATAAAAAGCATGTTTTATTGTTTTTCACCACATTGCCTCTATATCATTGAGCAAATGAAGAAGCCTAAGCCGTGTATTACACTGTGATAAAACACTCCGGACATTTGAGAACACTCAGACAAGAAATGTAGAAAACACTCGTCTGTGGTTCGTGTTTTCCATCGTGTTCTCATATGCCTGTGGTGTTTTATCGCAGTGTAATACACAGCTTAGGCTTCTTTATTTGTTAATGAAAAGCTTCCGAACAAGAGACTTTTTCACAGGTTTTTTCACAGGTTTTTTCACAGGTTTTTTCACAGGTTTTTTCACAGGTTTTATCACTGTGAAACGTACCCTGTTCACAGGTTTTCAAAATTCCACACCCTGTGAAAAAACACATCCACTATTATATAACTTTAATTTCCTCTTCCGCATACATGCAAAATCAGATAAAGTTGTAATACGAGCTAAGAATCCAACGATTATCGAGCTAAGAATTCTTCGTGATTCTTTTCACTCATATGACGTACGCAAAAACGACAAAACTCTTTTACCTTTTCAATTTTAATTTGAAAGATGTGTGGATTAAGTGAAACGAGTGGGGTAACCTACGAAATAAGTACGTCAAGGCAACATTAAAGCTGAACTCCCACGCAATACTGAATAAATATCGTGTCCGACTTTAAAATTTTGATATTCGGTATTTGGTATTTGAAATAAAAAATCACAAAATATAATAATTCATAAATCTTTTTTTCTCTGAAGAGATAAAATTATTCTGTACATTTCTACATTACAGTAAGATGTTTATGTGTTAGTCAGAGTTGAGAGCTGATTCTAGGGTCAGAAAATGCATTATTAATGCGGAATGGAAACCACAACTTTCCGAATACTAAGACGAAATATTTTAGTAGCACATGATCAAACGATTTTGATTGCTTCACTATTACACTAAACGCATCGTTTTTCCACCCCACCGATTTTAACGAGAAGAGATTTACCATGTTGTCATTACTGATCGTTAAGCTTACCGTTTCGTCCGAATTTTGCGCCATCTTCGAAAGCTTTCCTTCCCAACGGTCCTGGTCTTCCGAAAGTCTTCCCGTCATCTTTAGGACCCCAGCAGTTACTGTAAATATCAATATAGTCAGATTTAAAACTAAGGGCGCTCGCTTCTAGCTTATCTGTTGCAGTTCCATCAAGCATTCGAACGCCGCCAAGTTTGACGTTGAAAGCCACTCCAACTCCGCATATTTCGTTATCTTCTTGAGCGCCAACTTCACCAGCGCATTTTGTGCCGTGAGCGTTGTAAGGATCGCTGTCGTTAGGGAAAGGATCATCATCGTTGTCGTTTAAATCAGTACTGGCCTTTGGATCGTAGTTTCTCTTCAAATCAGGATGTGTGTGATCCAAACCATCATCCAGTATACTGACAACAACACCGTTGCCCGTAAAACCCCGACGCCAAACATCTAGCACTTCGATGTCGGCCCCGATCAAATGCTCATCATTTTGTCCCCAGTTTAACAAATACCACTGCTTCTCCCATCCTGGGTCGTTAAATATCCTTTTGTAACGTTCTTCGCGGACTTTCCTCTCCAATTCTCGTTCTCTCAAGTAACCATTGGACAAGAAATCTCGCTTATTGCGCTCAAGTACCAGTTGCTGTTCGGCCCATTTAATCCTAGGATGATCATTCAGCTGCCGCGTTCTTTCCACTGCTCGACGTTTGACTCGAGCATTCGTTCCTTCATGGACAAACTCGAATACTCGCCGCATGTTCCCGACTCTGCCATTGTGTTTTAGATCAAAATCTCTTGCTATTTCATCGGCAAGCTTCTCGTTGTCTTCGTCTAGTTCGACCGCCCAGATATTTGTGTACACGCGCTTGCCATCTTCGAAAAGTTCGCCAAGATGATCGCTCGTTTCTATTTCGTCTTCCATTTCATATTGTTGAACAGGGATTGTTAAAGCTGCTACAAAAAGTAGCGACGTGAAAAGTAGTCTTCTCAGAATCATTTGAAAGGATTATTAAACGAAGAAGATTCTCCGTTCCTAACTATCGACAAAGCGACAGCTACTTTGACCCGACGTTTATATAATGATGACCGAAAGGCATTATTATGCCTAACGGCTGTTGTTTTCACAACATCCTCACACGCAAGACAACACAGGACACTACCCCAGGTGGGACGGTAATGAGTTTCTCAATTGCAACAGAAATGTGGAATTTCAAGACGACGATTAAGAATTAGTTTCTTGAATGAGTTTTATACTCAAATTTACGTCCGGGAAATGCATTAAAGTTTTAAAGTTTTCAACTTGATCAACAATTTTCGAGCTATTTTCTGTGACAAATTGCTTCCACCCCTCCTATCGTTAGTTAAATCTCTTCGTAGTTCCATATCATTGGTTCGCTTGAAGCCTTGTGGGTGCTAAAAATTAAGAACTCCGGAAAATTTAGCGACGAAATGCAAATAGAAGAAGCCAGTATTGCTAATCAACGGGACAGCTTTTTTCAAACTTGATGAGACGACACATAAAGTAAACATGGTATAAACTTTACAATCATGGCTTTTGCAATAAAATACTTTTTTTCCGAAAATAGATACGGTACTTGGGTAAGGCCGGCAGATTCAGACTACTTATTTCGCAACCTTATTTTCACACGTTCACTGGAAGAGGGTTTTATAACATGCCTAATATGTGATTTCATTTTACAAGGAAAGAATATTATTTTGTATCATGGTTATTTTCCTAGAAGTACAAATGCTTCTGAGACGAAAATCTGGTTACATTTAAAAAGTGGTGAAGGTTCTATTAAGATTCGAAGACAAATTCATTTCGAATAAATTCGTTCGACTCACTATTTTCACACAGAGGGACATGAATGAGTGCTTGAATGAGAATTTGCCTGGAGCTTTTTTATTTTTTTATTGTTTTTATTTTTTCATTTTTACTTAGTGATGTATAAATTGAAACTGAGAACAACAGAGCGAGCTGGTAGCAGCTGCAACGAGAGAGGATTTTTTCAACGTCAGAGGAAGCAAAAAAAAGTAAACTGTAATGACAATAATGTTTTCTAATGTGACAAAGACAAATATAGCAACCTATTAAAATCTAAGGCCAAAGATAGCTTATTCAGGGCCTACACGGTGCAATTAGAAAGCTTTTGAATGAGTAGAAATGCAAGAAAGTTCACGAAAAGGATTTTCCGCCTCTCAGGAACTAAATTTCAATAGACGTAAAGTTATCTTTTTGACGATCAACGTCAGGTACAGTTCATTTTAAAGAGTACAATGGATTTTTTTCTCATGTTAAATAAAAGACTGATAAGATTTTCTCGTTTACTGAATTAAACCTCTTTTCTGCGCTGGCCGTCACCCTGTTGATCAAGAAACTTCTCATGTTCGGCTTTGACAAGGTAAATCGAGGCACACTGAAGCAATTGTCAACTGACTTTATTTTTGTAAACAATTTTTCTTGTTTTGGGAAGACTGAGAGTTTTAAGATATGCCTGTGAGAGTTTAATCCGCCGGTGTTGTGTAAACACATTTTTGCTCACGTTTTAACCCTAAGTAAAATAACATTCCTTAGTCTTGACTCGGCGAACAATGGTAGACACGATGTAGAGTTGTTGTTGCTTTTTCCCAAAAACGAGTACTTCTGTAATTTCTCTCACAAGAGGAATACTTCTGCTTGATTTGAAGAGACCAATAAATGATTCTGGGTGAGTTTGGATAAAGTTTCGATTATTCTTGTCATTCATTAAACATGACCATAGCTACAGAAAAAAATCATGAGGCAATGTCCGTGTGAAACTTAAGGTGTTCACGATGACTATAAACAGTGAAAAAAGAAAGAAAATGTATGAGGCAAGTGTCTTGGTTCGCTTGTTACTAGCTATGACCCTGTTAAAACTTCCGCTTCAGCCGGTAAGCAAAAGAAAGTGTGAAAACTGCATCGGATTCAAGATAAAACAGGCCGTATGTACATGCTAATGCATTTAGCCTCTCAGGGACAATTGAGTTATGCATGTGCATGGCCGAGTATTCAAGTGTCAAGATCACAAAAACAGTCGATCGACCTTCTCCCCCACTTCAGTGCCGAGAGGAATATGACGGACCGCTAGAACTTTTCTGTAATATTTACAACAACAATGTTTGGTGAAAATCGAGGGCGACTAAGGTACTGAGCCCTATTAAAATTCGCTGGTCACTTCTAAGGTAAACTAAGATTCCCTAATATGTTGCTTTTTCAGATTATTAGTTTTTTCACACTAGTAAGTAATGAGCGGCCAGTTTACTCGTGCTAGTAAGCGTGTGCTGCAGCCTTGCGGCTGAGCGGAAGCCCGGAAAGCCCTAAAGCCTAAAGCAGTATAATTCAACTCAGCTGCTGGTTGACATGACACTGGACTTTCTCGAAGTCCTTTGCCTGCTGGTAGTCCTGGCATGAATGTTTTTCGCGCTTTTCATCTAATTCAAACTCGGGTTTTGAGTGGCTGTTCTCGCTTCGAGCTCCGCTTTCAAAGCCGGCTCGGCTTAAGAGCAAGTTCATATGCAATGATCATTGCACAGCAAGATGTTTACCACCCAGTGTAAATCATAATTATCGACTTACGGCTCTTATCAAATAACTATATTGCTGTTTCAAGTCTGTTTGTAGATCTTATGTGGGATTACTATATAAGCTGGAAGATACTGTCGTTCTCAGGGCTAGACGCATAATGCTCTAAATGGTTTAATACCTTGTAGATCTTACTGAAAAGTTATCGTCGTGTTTGATTAATTCCCAGTGAATTCATATAAAAATGGTCCGTGCTGGCCGGATCTGCAAGACCGGGAGTTTGCACAGCTCGCAAAAGTTAGACTTGTTTGGGCGATCAATGTGGTCCTGTATTAGGGGCCCTATTGAAACAGTTATGACTAATTTCGCAGTCAACTCGAAGAAAGGATATTTCAACAGCTGTTCAGCCAACAGCAACTGAACAGCATAGCTGGCTGAACAACATAGCTGGCGCAGCTGACATGCATGCAAAATAATCCGACTATTCAACAGACACGAATTATTATCAATTATCCCAACTGAAAGAATGAATATACCGCAGATAAGAGACTAGATCTAGTCTCTTGACCGCAGATTTTTGACCAAAACAAAAAACAATTTCAAGCTGTCTTGCGCCAATAGAATGACCTTTACCTCTCCGGCATTGTCCACTTCCTATTAATTATTTTATTTGATTTTTTCAGGTGACTGAAATTTTTCATTTTTGTCAGCTACAACTGACGTCGTGAGTTTTAGGGCGTTGACTTGCTTAATTTTTTGTGAACAGTCCACGCAAAATATTCATTGAAAATAGAAAACAATCCCAAACAGCCTGCCTCGGTGACTGTTTCGAAGATAATTTGAAAAGAGTCTGAAAGAAACGCTTTCAAAGCAGGTAGGAATACAGACGACTCACAGATGCCTTCCTCGGTTTTAAGTCCGGATTGTCTTTTCTTCAAAACCACAGACAAAACCGTAAAGAGTGAAATCCTTAAGGAATGAATAAATCATTCAGAGTCAAACATTTATTTGCGTTGTGCGATGGAGCTGCCTGGTATCACTAGCAAGCTAGTAAGGATACGCTAAGCGTATAATGAAACTGACAATTAAAAACTGGCAACAGCTTTACAGAACTGAGGGGATAGTAAGTGGGGGCTTACAGAAGTTAAAACGATGACTCGAAGAGAAACTTCGATTCGCAAGAGGAAATTCAAAGTCGGCGAAAGATATACCGGAATCAAAAAAGAAAAGAACTCGCTAATTAAAAATTTTGAAGCGATGATGGGGTTTTCAACATGCTCGCTATCGGTTTAGGGAGGGAGCGGGGGCGAAGCATAAGATAACGTGTTTAAAATAAATTTGAAATTAAGAGGATATCTATGTTGTTTCTCGTGGGTGTCGGTTATTGTCGGCTCATTGTTTCTTTCGTCTCACACCGCTCATCCCACAAGTTTACAAAGACATCTTTCCCGCCATTATGCCAAAAATTCAGGAAATTTTGGTTTCCGGTTTGGTCCGACCGGAATACTTGACCGGTGGGACTAAAATTTGCTGTTCCATTTTGACAAGCCGGTTTGTATACAAGCCGGTTTGTATTTGTATACTCTTCAGTACATTCACTTTTGAATCAGAGGTTCGTTACAGAAATCCGCTGTGTGAGGTGAGTGTAGGTGCAAAGTCGAAAATTGTAACTGCTGGCACTGTTTGCTTTGCCTTTTTTTGAGCATTTTCGAAACTAACGTCTCCCGTTGAACCGCCAACCCTGGTAAAAATATGCTAAACCTGTCACCAGAAGCTAAAAAACGTGGTATTCTGACTTCAAGAGAGTATCAAGGTACCCAACGTAATCCTTCTTAAGTTATTTTTAGACATGGTACCCAGTTCTTTCGCAGATGTTACTCGCGTGTTGCCTGGATGTGTGCGTGGAGGATCTGCTTATGTTTCGTTTCGTTTCAAAGCAAAAGGAAACCTCCAATGCTGTGGGATGACTTCTTTGATATTTTGATTACAAGCAAAGGAGCTTCGGCCCTCGTTTTGTTTCAATTAATTTCGAAACTTTAATAAAAGTTTAAATAAGAGACAGACGGTCCCCTGCACAAACAAAAACAACTGAATAAACCGCAGAGAAATGTTCAGACAAATGAGTGCAAAACAAACAAACGCCCAAACACAACGCAACCGAACAAACAGATGGTCCAAATTGCAAAGTAGCTCGAAATAGTTTTCACTGTACGCCAAACAAGTTTTGCAAATTCTCCTCTAAATACAGTTTGGTCATAGTACCAGCATGAAATTTACCACGGAAATGAAAGAGACATCATAGATTCATTTCATTATATTTTTTTCCCAAAACCTGTTACCATGGCAATCATATGACGCATTCAGTTGTGCACTCAAAATTTGAATCTATTGTCTTATTTAGAAAACGGGTCGGCGAAATCTTCTCAAACCCCTATATTAGATGTTATCAGCAATGATCTCCAGAATATTTAAGAATGGCTGACTGTTAGGATC